AAAAAAAAAAAATCCTTCATGTAATAGCTTATATTCAAAATGTGTGGTGTTTAGTGACAGTTACTTAATGAGATTATTTGAAGGTGGTGAGATGCGGTCTGGTGTGATGTAGGTCTTAGAAAAATATTTTCTTTATCGTACCAACGTTTCGATCTTCATTGAGATCATCTTCAGTGCTCAAAGTTTTCCGTGTAGATGTGCCATTCTCGAAACGTTGGCACGATAAAGAAAATGTTTTTCTAAAACCTACGTCACACCAGACCGCACCTCACGACCTCCAAACTTATAGTCAAAGTTTGATCAAAACTAAGAAAAATCCATGGATCTAAACGTCTTTTTTCGACATATCGTCTTCAATATCTCACAAGGTGATCCATAATTCGTGAGCGTTCGTATGTCGACCTTTTAGCTTTATGAATTACAGAACTTTTAAAGAAAATAGTCACATGATTGACAATCTTTTGTAAAGAATATCAAACTAGGGACAGTAAAGGCTGCCTTGAAATGTGTTGAATTATTTTCTGGTCCAATAGATTAATTTAATAAATATCATCAATGTACTAATAATTCTTATCGAATGATTAAGGTGGATTAATATGGTGAAATTATACAGAATTTGGCCTTTAGTCTGTAAATAATATTTCTCCAAAATCTATTGACATTGATCAGCATGATAGATTTAAGAGCGTGCATGGAATTTTATGAGGTTCCGAAAATGCAATTGTATTAAATATCTTGCTGATTCACAACCAAAATTTTACTTCTCAATGTTGAAATTTTAGTAATTAAGAAAACTAAGTCGGCAATATTTGGCCATAGATAAAATATCTTGCTTTCCGATGCAACACAATTTGATGAAATTGGGCAAAATTAATGAGCTTAACTTCAAATAATCTATCGATAAAATTTGGCCAAATTGCTACCAAAAATCCGCCCTTATAGGTCACAACCTGACTTTTAAAAACGCTGTCCTTATTAAAATGTTTCCTTTAAAATATATCCCGCTATCCGATGCAACAGAATGGGGTGAAACTGGGAAAAATTGTTTGCTATAAATTCATGAAATCTATCGACAAGATTTGGCCTTATTATTACCAAAAATCCGTCCTTGGAATCACAACCTGACTCTTACACTCTTATAAACGGTGCTTTTTCTTGAAATAACTCCTTTGAAATATCTCACTATTCGATGATACAGAAATTGGTGAAAAGGGACAAAATTATTGAACGTTTATTCACGAAATCTATCGGCGAAATTTGGCTAAATCGCTACCAAAAATAGCCTCGGAGGTCATACCCTGACTTTTATAAACACAATATTTGTTACAATTTCACTTAAAATATCTCACTATCCGATTCAACAGAATTTGGTGAAACTGGCCAAAATTATTGAATGTCTATTCACGAAACCTATCGGCAAAATTTGGCTAAATCGCTACCAAAAATAGCCTCGGAGGTCATACTCTGACTTTTATAAACACAATATTTGTTACAATTTCCCTTAAAATATCTCACTATCCAATTCAACAGAAATTGGTGAAACTGGCCAAAATTATTGAATGTCTATTCACGAAACCTATCGGCAAAATTTGGCAAAAAAAGCGTTTTTGGGATGAATGATATTAATGCCTTAAAAATAGAAGATATAAAGAAAATTTTTCAATAGATTCCTGAAGGAGAAAAAAGTTTTTACAACCTCTCGACATCATGGCCAACAACATGTGGAAGAGCAGATCCTGATGAGGAGTAAAATCATAATTTAATGTACTTTGCTTTAAAAACTTTTGTATGTTCATTTTCGGTATATTCCTTTGTGTAACCTGTCCATCTCCACGGAACGAAGTCGGCAATTTTTCTACGTAAGTTGCATTCTCTTAAAAATGCTTTAAAAACTTTTGTATATTACTTTATGTATATTACTTTATTTTACTATTTTGCTTTTCGCTGAAAATTTTTTAGAAAAATAAATTTTATATCACTTTTAGTCGAAGCTTTTTGAAATTCCGTGAGTTTAGTCATGAAAGTGCACAGAAAAGTTGCTGCTTCTTAAAAAATCATAAAAATTCATCATACTTGCATGTTATTACTTTGTATTATTCATTTAAACGTTACACTAAAATGAACTGGTTAGGGATGGTTAGGGTGGTTAGGGTAAAAGTGAGACAGTTTTAGTGCTCTGGTGTAAAATCGGGAAAAGTGTACATGTACCCTTGTGAGGGCTTTCATTAAGTCCATTTCAAACCAGACTTATTTGATCAAATTTATGTTTAGCGTTTCTAAACTCTTTGAAGATCTGTTTTAAAACAATTTCCATGATGGGGATGAACATGTTACACAGACCTACAGACCTTCGATGTGATAAAAGGAGACAAGGCTAAGGCAACAATAGAAGCACGTCATAAAAATAAAAGTAAAAAACAAAAATATCCCAGGAACTCCGACGAACTGCACATGAATACAAACGAAGTTTTCCATATGTGTCGTGAGTCGCAATTGACTGAAAGTCTAATACGTAAATTACGATTTGTAATTGTAAGATCGCTTAAAATTTGGAAAGCCTGTAAGGTGAGACTGCTGGAAATAACAGAAAGGGGGCCCCGAGCATACTGGGCTCGTACAAAAGTTCCACGAGTTATGAAATTATCCGAGAATTTCAAGGGCGGCAAATCGTCGAGGAAGAACGTGCCTCGGACGTCTGTTTGTTTACAATTTGATGGAGTACGCCTGAATTTTTCTTCGTGTATCCGGCCTTGGGATTGCTGCCGGTCACGAATTACATAACGGCCATTTCCACGGTTAAGCTCATCGAAGTTAGTTTATGCTTCGTTTTATGCTATTTTGACACAAACTCAATCAATCAACTTTGACCACTGCTTACAACTGCTTTCTACAGTTCTACAGTTGAACTCATATTATGATAAAAAGTATTTTGGTTACCTAGGTTGCAAAAAATTGCACTAAATTGCTTGTTTTTTAAGCTTTATCGACTTTGGTAACTGTTATTATTGGCCTTTTCATAGTTGGTATAGTATTTCAATATAAAGTTTTTAAAGTATCTTTACATGATAACTATCAAAAAATTTCAAAAGAAAAACGAATTTAAGTCTGTTTTTTTGTAGTTCGTATCATATTTTTAAACTATTCACTTTAATTGAGATTTTTTAAAAAAACCAGTAAAGAAAAGAACCGTTTCCGTGGCCTTTTTGTTATAGATTGACAGATATTTCAAAACAAAGGTTTAAAGTAACTTTTTTACATGATAATTACCAAAGAATTACAGAAGAAAAACACGAGTTTAAGTCAATTTTTACTCAGAGCGTACAAACTTTTTAAAGTATATATTTTAATTAGGATGTACAGACAAACTGCGAAATAACAGAATCATTTCTGTAGCCTTTTCTTGCAGCCTTATAGCCGGACAGATATTTTAATATAAAGGTTTTAAAGTATATTTTTACATGATAATTAACAGGTTTTTAAGGTATTTGTTTAAAATATAACTACCAAAGAATTACAAAAGAAAAACACGAGTTTAAGTCGGTTTTTTCCTAGTTTGTATCAACTTTTTAAAATATGTATTTTAATTCGGATTTACAAACAAAACCACGAAAGAAAAGAATCGTTTATTTTTGTACCCTTTTTTAATAGTTGAAATAGATTTCAGTAACAGGTTTTTAAGGTATTTGTTTAAAATATAACTATCAAAGAATTACAAAAGAAAAACACGAGTTTAAGTCAGTTTTTCCTAGTTTGTGTCAACTTTTTAAAATATGTATTTTAATTCGGATTTACAAACAAAACCACGAAAGAAAAGAATCGTTTATTTTTGTACCCTTTTTTAATAGTTGAAATAGATTTCAGTAACAGGTTTTTAAGGTATTTGTTTAAAATATAACTATCAAAGAATTACAAAAGAAAAACACGAGTTTAAGTCAGTTTTTCCTAGTTTGTGTCAACTTTTTAAAATATGTATTTTAATTCGGATTTACAAACAAAACCACGAAAGAAAAGAATCGTTTATTTTTGTATCCTTTTTTAATAGTTGAAATAGATTTCAGTAACAGGTTTTTAAGGTATTTGTTTAAAATATAACTACCAAAGAATTACAAAAGAAAAACACGAGTCGGTTTTTCCTAGTTTGTGTCAACTTTTTAAAATATGTATTTTAATTAGGATTTACAAACAAAACCACGAAAGAAAAGAATCGTTTGTTTTAGTAGCCTTTTTTTTAAATAGTTGAACTAGTATTTCAATAAGAAGTTTTTAAAGTACCTTATTTCACGATAATTACCAAAAGATTACATAGGAAAAACTTGCGATTTAGTTAGGTTTTCCTAGTTTGTCACAACTTCTTGAAGTATATGCTTTAATCAGGATTAACACAAAAAATTACGAAAAAAGGAGCCTTTGTTTTGTTTGAAGAATAACACGCGGTTTAGATAGTTTTTCCTAGTTGTCTCAACCTGTTAAAGTACATTATATTTTCAGAATGATTTACAAACAAAATTACAAAAGAAAATATCATTTATAGGCTTCGTTCATAAGTAGACTATTATTTTAGATTATATGGACGATTTTATACAATAAAATTAAGATATATAAGAAAAATATATAGTCATAGTTTTGCACCACAGAGGACAGATAAATACCAAATATCGGAATAAGCAGAAGGTAAAGTTCAAACCGTACATAAACAAAGAAACGCAGTTGTAAGTACCTAGAAACACTTTTTCGAGGTGGTTTGACAGGTTTTTACGTCGACATAGTACGTGGGACAAGTGTAAAAACAAGCACCACTTCCACGTTCGGGTTGAAAAGGAGCGGAATGATATGTTAAGATGGACAAAGAGCTTTGTCCCTTTGCCAAAACCTGGAAGTGGAACTTGTTGCGTAAACCTGATATAATATCTCTTCTGTATAGACTTCGTAATTGGGGTTGAAAGGGAACGCAGGGTAGGGCCGTACGCGTCCCGGGGGTTTCGCTCTTTGTGCACAGTCCGTCACGGAGGCAACGCCGAGCTACCGTGACCGCTCCTATAAATTGAGACGCCGTTCAAGTTCATCCAGTCACTCTGTCCACGACAGTCGTCATGAAAACATCAATTCTGGTAAGTTTGCGGGGATTTTCATTGTGGACAACGCCCTTTTGGGCACGCTGATCCCACGTTTTTACAATCGGCACAGTGCGCCCTTTTCTCGAGTAAGTGTTCATCGCCAATCCCTCGACTCTTGGACCCATGGAATTTCGTTTATGGATCGAAACAAACTAGTCACACATCGGACATATTAAACAGTGATATCTATTTAAAAAGTGATCTAAAAATGACGTTTAATATACACAATTATAAAGAGATAGGGCATATTTTATTTATTTTTTGCATAGCTGAATAAAAATTTAAAAACATAACTTTAATATATATTTTATACATGAAGTTTGCAAAAAAAGTTACTAAACTACTTGTTTTTTCAATTTTTGCTCCAAACTTTGGACTTGCCAAAAAGCCAACAAACTACTCGTTTTTTAAACCTTTTTTCTATTGCTAGACACAAATTTCAATTTAAAAAAGTGTTCTACGAGTATTTTTCTACGTAGGTCTGCTCAAAAAGTCACTGAACTTTTCTCTTTTAAATATTTTGTATGGAACTCTTGTTTGTGTTAGAATACGTTTCGTGTGCAAGTCATGAAATGTCGATATTTTGGTTTTTGTATCTTTAAAAGTTGAACCCACATTTCACTCTAAACGTACTTCCCTACGTAAGTTTATGTAGTGTTTTATCATAATTTGAATAATTTTGGGTTAAAAAGTGTATAAGGTAAGCCAACTGCACTACCTGTTTTGTATGTGATTTATTATTGCTTGAATAATACTGTGGGTAAAAAGAGTGTATCCGGTTAGCCCAAAAATTACTGAATTACGTGTTTTTGTAGGTGTTTTTAGTGTTGGAACAATATTTGGATTAAAAAGTGTAACTGATGAGCAAAAAAATCACTGAATTGCCTGTTTTTGTAAGTGTTTTTTATTGCAGTAATAATACTTTGGTTAAAAAGTGTGTATCTGATTAGCAAAAAAATCACTGAATTGCCTGTTTTTGTAGGTGTTTTTAGTGTTGGAACAATATTTGGAATAAAAAGGGTAACTGATGAGCAAAAACAATCACTGAATTGCCTGTTTTTGTAGGTGTTTTTTATTGCTGTAATAATACTTTGTTAAAAAGTGTATATCTGATTAGCAAAAAAAATCACTGAATTGCCTGTTTTTGTAGGTGTTTTTATTGCTGAAATAATACTTCGTTAAAAAGAGTGCATCCGGTTAGCAAAAAAGTAACTGAACTATGTGTTTTTGTAGGTGTTTTTAGTGTTGGATGAAGATTTGGGTTAAAAAGTGTATCTGATTAGCACAAAAATCACTGAATTGCCTGTTTTTGTAGTGTTTTTTTTATTGCTGTAATAATTCTTTGGTTAAAAAGTGTGCATCTGGTTAGCAAAAAGTGACTGAATTACGTGTTTTTATAGGTGTTTTTATTATTGGAATAATATTTCGGTTAAAAAGTGTATCTGGTTAAAAAAGTTACTGAATTACCTATTTTTGTAGGCTTTTTTTATTGCTGGTTTAATATTTAAATTAAAAAAGTATATCTGGTTAACAAAAAAGGCTTTTTTTATTACTGGATTAAATTTAGATTAAAAAGTGTATCTGGTTAACAAAAAGTCACTGAATTATCTGTTTTTGTAAGCTTTTTTATTGCTGGATTAATATCTCGATTAAAAAGTGTATCTGGTTAAGAACAAAACATTGAATTCCCAGGTTTTGTTGGGCTTTTTTTATTGCTGGATTAATATTTAAATTAAAAAGTGTACGAGGTTAGAAAAAAGATCGCTGAATTATTTATTTTTGTATTGCTTTTTTTTTATTATTGCTGGACTCATATTTGAGTTAACAAGTGTTTTTTAAGAGTATTTTGTACATAGGTTTGAAAAAAGTGAGTGAATTGCCTGTTATTGTTTTTATATTAACAAAAAATATAATTAAGTGTATTTTCTTTAAAGAATATCTGCAATAACGTCACGGTACTGTTTGTTTTTCTAAGTCTATTTTTATTGATTGACTCAAATTTAATTTCAAAAGTCTTCTAAGAGTATAGGGTTTTGTTCTATTGCTAGACGCAAATTTCAATTCGAAAGTATTCTAAGATTAGTTTTATAAGTAGGTTTGCATAAAACGTCACTAAACTGTATATTTTTTTAGGTGTTTTGAATAGCTGGACTCACATGTAAATTAATATGGGTTTTAAGAATATTTTTCTGCACAAAAAGTTACTGAACTTTTCATTTTTTAGAGGTTTTTATTTCTATCGATTGACTCATGTTTCAGGTAAAAAATGTTTAAGGTTTGCAAAAATGTCACTTTAGGTTTTTAAATTTGTCTATTTTAAATTTGATACCAATATAATAGGCATTTTCACCTTTATTTTTGAGCTCGTCGGACGATTTTCCGTCCTCCAGGCCTGAAGGTTTAGACCTACCTACCTTCTTCGTTACCGGGTCAGGTAACGCCCGTGCATCGCATATTCCAGAAGATGCGTTTTACGATCCTCGATTAGGCTGAGGATGTCGTGAAACGGCCTTTGCGAAGTTGTGGGCTAGGGCAATGGTATTAGGTATCCGTCCGTTTGCTTTCCTCGTTAGCATTTTTCTGTCAATATTACCTGTCGGTTAGGCCATATTTGTATTTGCTTTATTTCAAGGATCGTTGTCCAGAGTGTCACAAGGTTTATTCTTTTCACTCGAAATTTTAAGCATGTACAAAACAAACTTAAAAAAAATTTAACTCGGAAAATCCTCGCGAATGGTCTGCGAAGGTGATCATATCATGTCATTCTAGTCTGTCCTATTATCTGTTTCACAATGTTCTGTGATTGACCTGATCATTTTTGTTCCAGTCTTGTCAGTTTTGTCGGTTAAAAAAAGACACTTTTGGTAGAGGTTCGATAAACAAAATTCTTTCACGACCTAATTCCATAGTCCGTCAGATCAATTATCTAAAAAATATATTTATAAAAATAAATGTATGAATATAATACATAATATTATATATTTTATTCATACCATAAATATTATATGCAAGCTAAACTACGTTTGCCATAACAACATTCTAAATTATTCATCGGCCAACAAATAATTTATTAATTAATGAAAGTTGTACCAATTTGTTTTTATTCATACATGCAATTAAGTATTATTCAACAGAGATAATTAAGCGTGGGTAGGAAATATTCATAAATTAATTAATAACGTGTAGAATTATAGTTGATTATTAATTAATACTCACTGTGTGACTGTACAATGTTAAAAAAATGTATCATAGAAAGACGATAGGTTTTTGTTTAACTATTGATTTATTTTTAAAATATTGTCAATGATGAATTTACCATTGACGGTCCACTTTTTTTAAACAAGTTTATTAGCGCAATCTCCATTTTTCAGGCTTTTCGACACAATTACTTTATATTCTTTCCCCTAGCCTAGTGGTTTTTATTATTTTTTAAAAATATTTTTTAGTTTAAATAGAACGACAGGAATCCGTGATGTGAATGTGTACAGGGAATTGCAGGTGCGGCCGAGCTCAAGAATTTTTGCCGCGTCATCAACGAAACGTGTCAATACTATTCTGTGACTTTTGGCTTTGAATGCTCCTATGTTACAAAAGACTGTGTAAAGCACACTGTCAATGGTCAATTGGAACAAGGTCAAAGTGCAGAACATTTACGAAGCGTCTTTGTGTGACTTTTTGTACCGAAAGGACCCAAGTCCTTGGCCAACCACTGCTTACATGATAAACTATTGGATGGATACTTTTGAAGTTTAAAAACGTTTAGGTTCTTTCTTCTTAGGCAAAACATAACGATCTACCCATGCTAAGGCGTTGTGGACGCGTTAAAGCAGAAGTCTTAGTGAGATGGCGCGAAGTCAGGGTTATAACTTATAAGCAAGGAAAGGTAAAACGCTGGATCCTTCCACCCCTGGAAAGTTTTATAAAATATTTTTAACATTGCGAAATGAATTATTTACCATGTGCCTTATTTTCAAATAAACCGAAAAAGATCAAAGATAGATAGCGTGACGTCTGGGTTATAAGCAGGGAGAGGCAAGACATAGACTACTTCCATTACTAAGAATCCTACCGTTCCAAAAAACGTAGTCCAGTATCGAATTTTCATAACACAGTCCAATTTTGCCAATTGTATTATGCTTTATTTTCAAACAGACCGCAAAAGACCATAGTCAGATGACACTACGTCCGGGTATAAGCAGGGAGAGGCAGACGCATGCTACTTCCATTACTTATTAGTCTTATAACACAGTTCTAACTTTGCGATTTGAATTATTCCTAGCGTCTTACTTTCAAATAACCGAAAAGTACCATAGTCAGATAGCGTGACATTTGAGTTATAAGCAGGGAAAGGCAAGGCGCAGCTTCTTCCTTTACTGACAATTCTACCGGTTCTAAAAAAAATAGTCCTGAAGCGAATTTTCTTAACCCAGTACTAACTTCCAAAATTGAATTATTTCAAGTTCCTTATTTTCAAATAGATCAAAAAAGACCATAGTCAGATGGCATGACGTTTGGGTTATAAGCAGGGAGGGACAAAAATTGCATTCTTTCCAGTTGTCAATGTCACGTCGTTATCGATGTATAGAAGGGTAGTATTGAATCAAATTAGCATTATTTCTTTAATTTACTGACTATCGAACTGCTGGGCCTATATATACTAGAAGGGCAAAACACCCTTCAAACGTTTAAATTTGAACTTTTAAGTATTGCCACTTGGTCTAAAAACGGTTACATTTTATAAAATATTCTGGTTGTTTGAGCACATTTCTTGTTAATCATCCATCTTTAGTAAATCTTGAAGATCAAAAATAAATCATTGCTGAATATTTCGGACACGAAAAGGAGCGACCTGGTATTTCCAGACTGGAACAGATAGTTACCAACAAATCCAGCACCAATTTAATTCCACTTGATTTATTTCTCCAGCTGCCGGCTTTTTTCTTAATACATTTGTTTCTACTACATCACAAAGAGTAATTAGTACTAAATTAGCAAAATAAATTGTAAAATTTTATCCAAAATAATGTAGTAAGGATAAGGAAATATTGTCTGATAAAGCAATATGTTAAATTAAAGTATAAATTGGGCCAATATAGAAAGTTCTTAGGACATGAGCTTCAAGCAATTTAACTACGTTCTATTTGTAATATTGAAATTATTCAATTCTGGTCATGAATTGTCAAAAAGCAATACAGTCGTCCTTGTCTTAAAAGCACATCAATCATCGACCTCTCCAGGCATGTTGCCCAGTCATGTTTTCCCCTTTGCCTAATTTTACAGTTGGTTAATTCAAAAGGAAACATTAATAATTATTTTCTTGTTCAGGTGGTGCTCGTTTTCGCCTTCCTGGCGGTGATCAGCGATGCGGACGGGAGATACGTCAGAATAGAGAACCTCCCAATTGGTAATTACCGTTCCCAATATGTAAAATTGTACATTTACGTTGTCTGCTTGTAAATAAATTTATCCCAGCTTGTAAAGTATTTATGGGTAATATAGCTACCGATTGCAATGAAGCAATATATTTCATTAGTTCAAAACCTATACGCAATTAGGCATAAAATGTGTGAGATTAGAGATGATTTAAAGATGTCAATGATGATTAAATAGTGAAATAAGATCCATCCTCCATTGTAACAGTAAAAAGGTGCGACCAGAAAACAGATCTGATTAGGAATAGAGAACCTAAAAATTTCTAATTTGATTGATAAAGTTCAAACAATAATAGCATTAATAATATACAAAGTACAAAACCAATGTCAATAATTACTTCATCAAAAAATATATAAATTTATTATTTAATTTATATAATAAAGATTAATATTGTAACTTCAACTTCGATTTTTCTTTTGTATAATGAACATTAATGATCGGTGTTTTGTTTATACTCACTTCCACCAGTTACATTTTCTTGAAAAATGACAAGTTTACTCTCCCCTGCTTTGGTAGTCTACCATATCAACAATTAAGTTTTTTTAATCATTGATTTTTATGTCTTGACTGAAAATCTGTTTTGTTTTGTGATATTCTTCCTAATTTTGACTTAAGAAACTGTCCTGTGTTGCCAATTTCCTTGTACTTCTTGCATAAGACACAATTTGACTCTTCCTCCTTTTTATAAACTTATATTACACTGTAAACTTTTTTCTAGACGAGTGGAAATCACGTTCAAATGACACATTTTGTTCTTGTCCGATTTCACAAATTGTTTTTATAATTTTCCCCGAAGATAAAGTAGATTCTTTGTAGTTTTGTTTATGTTTCTTGCCACCGATTAGGTTTTTCATCTTGCACAATGAACAATTTGAATCTTTCTGGTTTGTAACAATTCACCAGGATCAAATTATCCTTTTGATTTATGTCCAATTTTACCCACCAATTAATTTTTTATATTTTTCTAAAGAAAATTTTGTTTGAAAAAAAAAAGTTTAAAGCGTTCTGGTTTTCACAATTATTTTGCACGATTAAACGTTTTCATAGATGACTGAAAACCAGGGTCAAATGATTTTTTTTCTTGCCCAATTTCATCAATCGCATTACCACTTTTGTCCAAAGAAAACACTGAGTTCAAACCATACATTTTGCTTTTGTCCAATTCCTCAAAGAAAAAGTAAAAAGTTCGTAGTTTTGTTCATGTCCAAATTCACCAATTAATTTTTTCATTTTATCTAAAGAAAATGTCGAATTTTGCTCAATATTTGCCAAATTATGTTTTTTCTTCTTGCACAATGAACTATACATTTGAACCTTTCTGGCTTAATCAACTTACAATACAAAAAAAATCAAAGACAGTTCTCGTTCAATTAAACCAATTAATTTTCCTTCTTTAACAATAAAAAAATTAAATTGTATAAATGTGTGGTGTTTAGTGACCGTTAGTTAATTACTTAATATTCGGAGATCGTGAGATGCGGTCTGGTGTGACGTAGGTTTTAGAAAAACATTTTCTTTATCGTGCCAACGTTTCGACCTTTATTGAGATCATCTTCAGGGCTCAAAGAGTTTTGAATTGGGCACTCTCAACAGGACACACAAGAATGACACAATTACGCAGAAAACAAACACTTTGAGCCCTGAAGATGATCTCAGTAAAGATCTAAATGTTGGGACGATAAAGAAAATGCTTTTCTAAAACCTACGTCACACCAGACCGCACCTCACGATCTCCGAATAATCTTTAAATTGTATATTTTATCAAAACCAAATGTTGAATATGTTGTATGCATGTAAAGTTTTACCAACTGATTTTGATATTTTGCTTAAAGAAAATGTCAAATTTTGTTGGTTTAATCTTGCGCAATGTAACCAACTGAGTTTTTCACTGGTTGTAAACGATAGCTCTACTAACAACTGGTTTTATGCAGGACGACGCATTTTCGCACATAAAAATCCAGCAGTTCCTTTGGACGTTGCGTTGGAGATGGATTTACGGGTCACGTCGTACAATTCGCGTTGAAAAACGCAAAAAAGAGCAGTTTATGACTGAAAAACGGATTTAAGGAAAAGTAAATCGCGTATAAAACCAGTTTAGTAGAATTTAGAACTAGTGAATTTATTAAAATGAAAACCGATCACTCAGTGAAACGAATCAGCTCTTTTTCTTAGATCATCGCTCGCACTCACCAAATTTATCTTACCAATAATTACATGGGTTTTTCTAAAAGCCTCGAAGAGGAAAGAATGAATGAATGAAGGAGAGGGCAAAAAGGGTGAAGTCACTTGTCAAATTGAGTGGTGGTAAAGACAAATTCATAATTAAGCGGCGATAGCTGGTGGATTGGAGGTGAAGATGATATCAAAGTTCTTTTTTTGAGCGGTTCATAGTTCGTTCAGTAAAGTGAGTTAACTATTTTGGTCAGCTCGCGAGCTGAGCCCCATGCTAGTCGGATTTGGATTTGGATATAGTACATGTACGTACATACAAACAAACATGTACCGAGTTGAGTGCTTCTCGCAGTCCCCCGGCGATTCCAGCTTTTCCTATCGCCGGCAAACTCGAGAATCACCCACCCCAGGTGTTGGCAGTCCAGTGCCAGATCTCAGACTTATCTGTCCAGCCACCGAGGTTGTGCTCCGGAGGAGGTGGGTAGTTGTCAACAGCTAGGTCAATTCAGCACCCAATGCAATTCCAAATCCATTCTTATTCACTTTGATTCTTAAATGCATTAACTCCTCTTCACATACAATTCATTCAATTAGGCTGATGGAGTACTCGATAAACCTCCATTACCCTTTACACATATTGTGCAACTAATCTAATTGAGGATCGATATGGGGTGATCGATATTCCGCCACTGATCACATCACAATTCACCCTAATAAATACATTCACTCTCAACACAACCTTTACACATATTATACACCTAACCTAATTGAGGGTCGATATGGGGTAATCGATATTCCGCTACAGATACTCTCACATTATACATTCGCGCTAATAAATACATTCACTATCAACACAAACTAGGTATGCTAGTACTATTATTACTGTATACAATATAACAGCCCCGTTTCCTCCAAGAACAGGGGACCCAAATACTATCTGTGCTCAAACAGAATCTCAAATAAATCGGGTGGGATTCCAGCGCGCTCTTGTAGGAGTCAAGGAGTACCACCTTTCAAATAGGAAGGAAACATCAAAGCAACCTTTCTACGCATGCGCGGGCTTTGGCCCAAAAGTACGTATGTGTTTATCTGGCATGGCCTATTCTTAATCGGGTGAAGATGTCCCGTCGTCTACGAGTCAGATCCTCGACAGTGCTCTTGATCCGGCCCATTTACGCTTTTTTTTATTGGACTCTTAGTGTCAGAGGATCGCGGTGGTGAAGTACGGAGTTAGGGATGCCCGGCCTTAGCCGCTTCGCCTACTTTATTTTCATACTAGGTGATACTCACTCGACCATAATTGTAAGTTTTCTCCTTGACAAATGTACCATTTGAATTTTTCTTTTTTTAGGAAGCTTATATTACACCATGAACGATTTTTTAGATCTAGATGAGTAGTAGATCGAATCATAAAAGTTGACCAATTAAGTTGTCAATTATGCTCTATAGAAAAATTATGTTTGTAGCTTTCTTAATCACCAATTTCACCAATTAAGTTCATATTTTGTCTAAAGAAACTTCCTAATTTTATACTTGTTCTCATATTCAATATCACCAATTACAATTGGCTTCGTGAATAATGAACAATGTTATATTTTATTATTCAGACTATTTTTTTGTTAAATTACACTGATTACGTTTTCTTTCTTGTCTGAAGGACAGTTTCTTAAAGTTTTTTGAGTTCTTTTTGTTGAACGCCTGTTAACCGTCAAGTTTTTATTAATTAAACCTGATAACCGGGATTACGTCCTGTCAAAGTTTCAGTAAAATAGAACTTTCACCTTTCTCTTAAATTACCTTAAATATTTTTATAAAATTAAATTTTTTAAAACATTAAACTCGTGGTAATAAGTAGAATGTGAGTAGTAGAACACAGTAAACGCTGCTATGGCCAGTTTCTTGCCTAGGAAATGAGAAAGTACTTTTTAAGTGAAATGAGTAAATTGCTTGTCTTTTTTAGAAATACAGTCTTCTCCTACCCGGAAACATTTTTTATAACATCCTATAAAGTCTCAACAGACTGTAAAGAGGAGGAAGAACTCATGAGTGCATCAGATACAATGATTTTCTATACAGATGACTCCAAAACAATCAAAGGAACCGGATCGAGGGTGTTTTGTATAAGCCCATGATATTAACAATCAAACTCATTAGGAAGTACACTTCGATCGTTCAAGCAGAAATACTTACCATCAACGCTTGTGCCCTGGAAAATCTTAAAAGACGTTACACTGGCAAAAAAATCCTCATACGATCTGATAGCCAAGCAACTATTAAATTAACATGTAAAAAAATCACAGCAAAATTAATTAATGGATCCAAAATCTCAAAAACCTGAGGAAACCAACAACATGATGATATCTTGGCTGCCAGGGCAAAAAGGAATTATGGGTAACGAAACAGCAGATACATTGGCCTGAAGAGGATATGCAAGCCTATACTTGGGATAACAAAAACAAATATAGAAACCTCTTTCGCAGAATGGATCCAAACAAAACAAAAGGAGAAGTGGATGAACTCTAGCGGCGCTAGACATAGTAAACGTATGATGAAACAACCCTCAACAAAACTGGCAAAATCACCGCTGCAATTGGAGAGGGCTAGACTCAGAGGAGTGGTAGGATTAATACCCGATCACTGGCATCTGAGAAAACATCTGCATAACATGGGCATATTCAACGATGATCCCATCTCCAGATTATGTAATGAGGAGGAGGAAACAGCCACCCATATCATCTTCGAATGCGAAGCAAAAACTCAATGGAGATTTAACCTAACATTTGAAAAAAAAATCTTGGG